ATATAAGGCAAGTGTCTCAATTTTCAGTATGAAAATGGGGCACATTTCTTGTAGGAGATGCCATTTATGTAGGAGATGCCAGAAGAGCCTAGTATTTGCCAGGCTCTTCTGGCCGCTGTTGATTTATTGCAAAGTTCCAAAAATCGCTTCAAACTGTAGAATCAAGTGACCATAAGCCCTAAAACTTTTGTATCTGGACTCGAAATCTGGCGCCACATTTGGACGAAGACCTGGCGCTCGTAGATGCGGAGTTTATTTTCTGAGTGAATAAACTAGGTTTTCGTTTACATTGAGAAAACCTACTTTTCTTTCCTCAGTACGTTTTTGATTTGTAAGTACCTCTAGGAATTCAGTTTCATATGTCGCCGCTGCTTAGTTTCACCTCTATTTTTATACATAATAAACGTGGCCGCCATGTGATTGTATATTTGAAATAAGTAAGCATTATTTTAGCTAAGTATTTTGTGCATATTGCATCAATTTAGAACGATATTCGAGCGTCCATGGCAGTTAGTAGGAAAATAAAATTCTACAGTACAAAAGTAACTGACACTACTTTTTGTTTACAGCAATCAGCTTTTTTGGTGGTCTACTGGGTGTGGCCGTGAGGACTAACACATTTGACTGGCCTTTCGAAATTTGAATTCCAAACTTACATACCAAAATTGGGCACCCGTAGATTTTCAATGTCCCATTCCAGCCTGTTTGCCTTCTGCACATTGGCTTATGAGCTCGCACGCGAATGGCTTACTCAGCGCAAAAACGCGAAAAACCAAGGGCAGAAACTGGCCATGAGCAATGTAATCGGGGCAATTGATACTTTTAAAAAAACTATATAAACAAGGAGCAGCTGGGATCATGCACACAAACTACTGGGCAGAAGATGAAAATCTGGTACAGGGCATAGTAAATGCACGACCGCTGATTTTGCTATTTGTGTAATGTTTTAACACATCCGACTTGAGCTCTAACTAAAGACACATAACACTTCTTGCAAAACTACGTTCGCGTACCCCAATTCAGGTTTGTATACATTTTGAATTTGAACTTTGCGAGGAGTGCCAAATGTCTACGAGGAAAGAGCTTGAAATTGAACATTTAACGACCACATGTGTTAGTACTTAATGACGCAATATGTAAAAAAAATCTACGGGAGTTACTTGCGTACTCGGGTATCGAAGAAGACTTCAAAACGTATTTTTAATTAACTGTTTTCTTGGTATCCAAATAAATCTAGGGACACGCGTTCCTTCCAGTTAGACAAACGGTGCATTAATCAAGATTACGGGTGTCTTGTCGAAGATAACCCTGATTCTGAATCATTCACTGTATGCTACACAACACAAACTCAGGTACATCTAATATTTTTCTCATTGCTTAGAGCTGATGTACACGAACATTAAAGGTAGATTAGTATGTTTTATGGCATGCATTCAATGTTGCTTTCTGAAGTACAGTTCATGGAAAGAATGTGGACACTGTTATAAATGCTACTGAGATATTTAACCCTGGTAGCGCTGTACTGTTTCAAACTTTTATTTTTATCGGATCACTTAGGACTCTACAGCCAAGAGATAACAAAGTTGAAGTGGAACTAAACATGACAATTATTCTCCTGATTCTGAGCATTCTAGTGCCGAACCGCGTAAAAGTGCGCGAATTGGACCTTACTGCCTGGTTCATTCAGTTGTTCACTTGCATCTTCCATCCTCAATCACCGAACAGAGACCACATTTAGGCTTCACTGCTTGCGGTTTTGTTTTCATCTGGCTGATTTGGCCCTTTGCATGCTACATTATCGCTCCTAAAGTAAAGCACTGAAAAATCAATATTTGGCTTTTCGCCGGCAAGTAAGGGCCCGTGCAAAATACCTTAGCCCTGTCTCGCCTCTTGGAGCAAAACACTATTCGGCCCAAATTAGGCTCTTTGATATGCCAAACTTGAGTCAAGCTAGCTTTTTCCTTCCACGCTGGTTCGGAAAGCATATCGGGATGGAAAAAGGATGTCCTAAAACGAATTCATGAGGGAATTCACAACAAATTTTTTTAGAGCTATATTTACTACTCGAAACGAATATGTAGTTGGCGCCAGCGGGAGCCCGCGGAAAAGTGGCCACTACTGTCACGTGAATGGACGCTTTAGTCACGTGGTGCTTGTGCTCTTTCGAAAGCTTTGTATAGACTCTCAAAGTTGCTTAATACTCTTTGTTTGAAGGGCAACAAAATAACGAAGATTAATCAAAACCACTTCTTGTGCACACATACGAACCTACCAAAGAGCGCAAGCACCACGTGATAGACCAGTGCGCAGGTAAGAAATTAACGGTGGCGGCGCGCCGCAGTGTTTATTCCCTTCCGGTGACGGCATGGACAAACGCGGTCAGCCGGCGCTCCACACCCAAAGGGTAGCGGCAGCGTCGGTGTTCTGGTGATTTGAGCGGCGGCGCTGAACGACTCCGGCGTAAAGCAGGGAACACATGAGGGGTGCAAAAGGGCGCCGCGCGGCAGCAAGCGGCAGCATCTATGGCAACTGGTGCCGCCGTCGCTACGTCACTGTGACGTGCGCAGTTTGCGTAGCGGTGCCGCTCCAATCTGGTCGGCCAGATGTTTGCGCACGGTGTGCGTAGCGGTGAGCAGCGGAGATGCAAATATGGCGACCGTTTGTTTGATTGGTTCGGTTGGGGTTTTGGGCTGTGCGCGTCCCAAACGTTCTCGTGAGAACGGTCGAGTCGTCTGCGAAGTTATTTGAACTCCCAGGAGTGGCACGCAAGATGTTGTGAAATCACCATCTCAACTTGAAACTGGCGGGTATACACGAACAACAACGAGAGTGCCGAGAAGCGGCGGTATGACTCCGAGCGAGATTGGTTTGGCGTTGGTGGTTTGAGTTCAAGGTGGGGATTCTGTTTGCCAGAATGTTACTGCCACAGCCGATGAAGGAGTTGACAAGAGGGGTGTAGAAAGGATGGCGAGAAGATGCACTTTGTACAGGAAAGACCTTCGGCGTCGTCAGGTTTGTCGAGCCAGACATTCGATGCCGTCGGGAGACGAAGAAACGTGTTGTGTATTTCGGAATATCTCTGCTGGGTTAGTACTTTGAACTGCGTTGGTAGGTATTTACTCTCATGCATGATGTACTTATGGTGCTCGCGGATAACGCTTTGTAACACTCATTTCAATGGCACGGTCACAAAACCAAATATTTCCTGCATTCGGTGTGACTTCCTCGGCATAAAGTCAATAAAGCTTCTTCATGGGCTTTCGAACAAAAGCGCCGAGAGTCTAATGAAAACTGGTCGCGTCTCATACAAGCGATTTGCGCTAGCCTTTCGTGTTCAATCTAGGCATCTTCGGACCCCTGAATGCCATCGTAGCGGTGTTCTGGGGTTCGTATACGTTCTGCGGTATGTTTTCTTCAGGACTGACACGCCGTGCGCCTCCAGTTGTCTCAGCGATATTGAACACGTTGAATATCAATTTTAAAATGAATGCTTATACAGTCAACACAATTATTCATTGGAACGATTTACATTTTTAATCTTTATGTAAGGTCATAGCCTCCTCTATACGGAGAAAGCCTGGCACATCGACGACGGAGCAATAGGGCGCGCGGCCGCAGGGAAAAGGAGAGGAGGAGCGCGCCGAACGGTGACCAATATGGTAGCGCAGAGCAGAAAGGGCAGACCTAGACAGCGAGCGCTTGGCTCATGAGCGGCCGCTCCCCGAACCACGCTTGTTTTTGTGTTTTCGTCACCGTCGTTTTCGTACTCCGGGGGAAACGGGCGCGGCGATTCGAAAGGGCGCAGGGAGAAACGGGAAAGGGTGGACGTTGAGCTTCTCCTCTCCACGATAGCGACAAGAAAAGAGAGAGAGAAAAAAAAGATTGTTTCTGCGTTTGGCCGCTCGTTCTTTTGTGGCGCTAGCAGACAAGGTTCTCTCCGCTTCCGTTTCCTCGCCCCTCCTTTCCCATTTACGGCGGCCGTCTTTTCTCGCGACGCGCCAGGCTTTCTCCGTATAGAGGAGGCTATGGTAAGGTTCATCGGGTAGAAAAGAAAAGCAAACACGCCGTTGGTAGTGGTGTGAACACACGTTTTGCGGTAAGGCTTTCTTCGACAATATTCCTTTAATAGTGATATAATGGTAGCACAAGGCCGTTTGTTCCGGTTTTATTTGTTTTATTTTTAGTCTGAACACTTTAATTTACGTTTTGGGTATAAATATTGCGTTTTGAAGCGACGTACTGCCAGCCGCTCTACGATCGGTGCCAATGGTGGCCCAGGAACTATGTGCCGATCCCGCGACGGGCTTTTGCGTGCATGTGTCTTGGATACACAGATGTCACCGTGTATCGCCAGGTGGTACGCCATGCGTAGAGCCGTGCTGCGCCCAGTTTCACCGCTCACCGTGTTCCATGCTGAGCTTGTGGCGGCCATGGCGCAGCGCGGCGGCACACAGGTCTACAACGTGAATAGTGGCGGCTTCCGCGGGCGCAAACTACAAATTCGATTCGCTCCTTAAATGTAGCTCTAAACCTTTTGTTTCTTCGTTTTAAATTAATTTATTACATCTTTTTCCTATCTAGGCTGTCTAATATTTTTATATATCTTTGCTTATGTTTGAAACACAAAGCATACAATTAAGCATGCGTCTTCCCTACCGAAAATTCCGGTATAACTTTTCGCTATCCGGATTATGGAACCGGAAATCTATCTGGATTCTATCTGGACTCTATCTGGAATTCAGGTTTTCAGAAATTATTCCTTTGTTCTCAATCTGGATTTCGGGTTTCCAGTAACAAATTTCCGGTTCCATATCCCGGATAGGGAAAGTTATACCGGATTTTTCGGTAGGGTTCTTAAGTGCAGTGCATTACTTAAGCGCTCCACGTGGAGTGTATCGCCTCCAAAATGCGATAATGTTTTTTTAATTATTTTTAAACCAGGCAGGGAAGATTTACGGCTCTATTTCAATTGTAAGGCATGTTTAAAATGTAATGCTTACCGGAGTTACAACTGGCTCCTTGCCACTGAGGTCTGTTAGAACCAAGTTTTCTGAGAGTATTGAACATTTTTCTAAGTTAAGTGTTAAGCCTTCTTTAATGTGGATCACTTTTTCACTTGAAAGGCTTCTGCTTTCAAGAAGCTTTGGATAAGCAACTTCGAAGTTTCGGGATTCACCTGTAAAAACATCAATAAAGCTGATCTTAATAGTCAAATACAAAACCTCTTCACCGTCCTACAGGAATAGTGACAGAAATATTCGCTCCAATCTGTTTGATACATGGTATTGGGGTCACTTTGTGCCGCCATGATATGTTGCAGGGAACACTTCCGTTTCGGATGTTATTTGCATGTTTTTACAGGGAAACATCACCGCTGGTGTCTTCCATAATTAAATCGTTTTTTTTTTTTTGTTTTGGCTATACTTTGCGCGTCCAGTGGCTTCTTGAAGTACTGTTATGCTTAGCAATTGTCTGGACAATTTTACTGTGGAAGATCTCCATGAAATAAAAGATGCCGCGGCCGTCGACCGAAAACAGTCTCTAACGCGCGCCACGATTTGAGGCTCAGTATTATGCTACGCATCATCGCTTAATTTTAAAATCAGAAAAGCACACATTCGAATCCTCTGGACGGCGAAGAAACTTGATGGAACGAATGACAGGGGAGTTTTTATTCAATTAAATGTTTATTAAAATAATAATTTATATGCGCCACTTTCGGACATTCAGACGTCGAATAATATAACTTTATATTATAGCCTGAATCCAGACTTCCGTGATACAGACCAAATTGGTACTGCATAAAATATTTATTGCCTAGAATGATAGTTTTTATTACTTTTTTGCATCTCAGAGCAGCATCATTTGCTAACGTTTAACGTTAATTTTTGGGTGTATATGCGCTTTTGAACAGAGGGTTTACGTAATATTTCTGAACAAACTCCATCAAGAAAACAACGGACGAACTAAGAAAACATCGTTAGTTTTGACAGCTTGCGTCCGCGGCGTGGAACTGAACCCTAGGTTCAATTGCAAGTCAATTTTATACACGTCAACTTTGAAGTTAGAGAACAAAAGTTTTTTTTCTTTTCAACATGCAATAAAGTGCCTCTTCGTGACACGATTAAAGTGAGACCTGAAACATAGCATGGAAGCGCTGATACCATCATTTCAATTTTATCAATCGCCCACGTCGTCAAACGCAACAACGATTCATGTGTGTCAGCAAAAAAATAAAACACAAAAAAACATAACTCTTTGAACAAATAGGGTATACCCCCAGGAGTGCCGCGTGATCGTAACAAATCGGACGCGAACTTCTTACCCTATTGCCTGGGTTCTAAAATCTAAAAAAAAGAGCCTTTTAACGTCCGCGTGTGCATCTGTCTTCACGTGAATATCGTTCACAAGATGGTCGTGGTAGATTGACGTTGTCACAATCGCGCTATCTCCCGTAGTCGTCGAAAATACGTCACATAATGTTTTTGCGTGGAACGAGCGGCGTAATCGTGGACACTGCGACTGCTTTGTCCCATTCACGAACCTCTACTCGTTCTCGAAAGCGCACCGCTCGCCTTTTCCCGGCCACTATCGAGCACGAGTGGCACAGTCCTTCACACCATCCTTCAACCACGTCCGACAGGCGTAGCTTACTTCTGCTTTGGTCAGTTCGAAGACTCACGGTGATGCCGCGCTGTAGACGAAGCGATGTTGTGCTGGCACACGCTCTCCCGTTGGGGCTTATTTATGGGTCAGCTGGCTGGAGGCCAGCTGACCCATAAACGCAACAGAGTCCCCCTCCTTCCTCCCCCCCTCCAGCTCGGCTGGAGGAGGGGAGGAAGGAGGGGGACTCTGTTGCGATACGACGTTACGGTCGAAAAGTTGCCCAGATTTATTTTTTTACCCAATATTTGCTATGTCACCAAAGACTAAACTTTTGGCTGGTGTATATCAATGTTACTTTTAAACCAAAGTTGAACTTGGGGACCTTAGGGAGGGGGGACGTAGAAGGGCGCTCGCCCCCCCCCCTCCCTAATCTCCCCAAGGTCAACGTGTAACCTTCTGCAGTTTACTGGGGGTGCGAATCTTGCCCCTACTGTTTTTAGGCTAAATTTTACCTAAAGCTTCCCTTCATACAGGTCTGCACGTCCAAGTCTGTATTGAGATAGCATTGCATTTTTAATTTCTTTGGGGTCGCCAAATTTAACCGAATAACGGGTGGAAATTAATTGATATCGAAGCATTCAACCATCAATCGGTGAGTTAATAATCAATTGCACAGCCCTTATAATCAATCATATAAATGCGGAGTATATGTATAAAACATCCCCTATTTGTAAGAGTCAATGTTTAATAAATATATAATTTAGTCGAGGCTGGATAAACACCTGCAACTCGCATTGTTTCTCTGAACTTTTCAAGTGGGCATGAAGGGTGCTTTCTATTAACCATTGCTTTCCAGGTGGAATCAGTAAATCAGAGGAAGGGACGAGTGGATGAGAAAGAACTTCCGACCGCTGGACTACCAACTAGTTTATGAATCCTCCTCTTCTTCTCATGTTGGTCCTTTATTCTGCCCTTTCTTAACCCTTTCCTTTTCCTTTCCAGTTATATCCACTGGTCAAGGAGATTGTGTCCTCCATAAAGTTTTTTTTCTATGTTGCAGTGTCATTGAAGGGGAACTCAGACAATGATCCTGTTTTCCTTCTATAGCAAGGGCCTGCAACATCTCGCGTGCAATCTGGTTTCTGTGGTATCCAAGGATGTGAACTTGCTCGAGCTTTGAATTTGCATGATCGACAATGGACGGCTAGGTGCCCTGGTGCCGTCAGGTTTTTAAGGTTGGCTGCTTATTCTTGTGCTCGGTCGTTTATATATCACGCCGATTGACTGATACAGCAGCTCCTGTATGTCACAGCTATGCTGTAAATAGCTTCCTTTTTGTACGGAACATAGTTTGCTTTTTGTCTGGTGCCACATTGATCTTTCTTATTGGTCTGTGCTTGCTTGATCTTCCTGCACGTTGAATAAGCTTTATTGGGTGTGTAAGTTACATGTAAGTTGCACATTTCATTGGCTCGCGACCTTTTTATTAGTCTAATTGGCCACGCCATGCATATACAGGATCACCTCGAAGGGTTTCTTTGATTTTGTTTTTGTGTTTTTATTTTAATCATCTGTTCTCTTGTCTGCGCCAAAGATTTTCTCGCATACGGAGGCGAGTATTAGTCTTTGATACCCGGCTTTGTGAAGCCTAGCAATGTGTTTTTCAAGTCTTTGGTTGACTTGTTGTGGAAAGGTTTTTTTTAATCTTCCTGCTTAAAAAAAAACTGTGATGTCCACTCCTTGCTTGAGACCTTACTATCCTAAGCTGATTCCACCCGAAATAAATAACCGACTAGCTCAGCTCATTCCCCTTGTAGGTATTGCTCTAGGTAACAGACAGAGAATTTCAACATTTTTGGGCCTTCGTTGCACAAATGTAGTAGCTATATTTTCTCTTTCAACTTATGTGGCAAATAGTCCCCAGTCTTGACAAAATAATATTTTAAAGAATTAAAGTTATTATTCTGGTAACTCATGTGAACTCAGCACTCATTAAAAAACTCGAGGGCTCGCAAAATGCTGCATATTAAGCAAACAAGTACTGTATGTGATTGTTTTTAGATTTTCTCATATACAGCAACCAAAAACATGGTTTAAACAAATGTGCATATTTCTGACATCACAATTGGATGTTGGAGATTTTTTTAACTTCGCGCATTCAAGAAATGTGCCAACGCGAGTGCAAATAAAACCCGCAAGACTACATCTATATACAAGTTGTGCGATTTCAATACGAAAGTATTCATTTGGAAAGAGTCATGCGGAGTCGAATAATGCGGTCTTTGCAAATATGTTATACGGCCAGAGGGACAAAATATAATGTGATACTCGTCGAGACAAAATAAATTATTTAACACAAATTTGGTTATTAGCTCCTGAATTAGTGAAAACAAATGTATGGTTTAAATTAGAATATTTCTGACCGTCATCTTTAGCCACCGAATCAGTTAGGTTTAGAAAGATTCGAAGCACTTGGCAAGCCCGTGGGTGCTCTGAAATTTTCACTCGTACAACAGGCGCAACGCGGGCCGTCCGAAAACGCAGATGGAAAGATTCCCATCATTGTTTTCGTACCGCCGAACTTCCGCCTGATGAGCAAGTCGTAATTTTAACGTACCCAGGAATTTAACAAGTGCTTCGAATCTTTCTAAAGTTGAATAAATTACTAGAAGAAGAAGCTAAGCAAGTTTTCTTATCGGAAAACTTATATTTATGCACACTAATAAAAAGTTAATCAACTAATATTAGGAAATTATTCGACTTCCTGTGACCATTTGCCCCGTACATTATGTACTTCTGGCCGTATAAATCACCTGCGCAAGCTGCATTATTTTACTTTTCGCGGCTCCTTTTGAAGAAAAAATTAGAGAACTAAAACATCACGAAATTAAACACAAGGACAAGTAAAACAAAAAAAAAACAAAAAAAAACAGAGCGCTGACATACGACTGTCGTTTTCTTTCATAACAAAATAGATTGAGAAAAAAGAAACGAGAATAACCGCGACCATGACCATGACAGGCCACAGTAACAGTCATGATCACATAAACGTGTCAGTTTGATTAATAGGAAATAATTCAAAATCTGACGAGGTAATTCATCCTAGACTGGCACAAACATCAGGTCCATAATTTCTAATAAAAAAAACTTCATGAAATTATCCAGCGGTCTCATTGGGATGTTTGGCAAGTATTTGAATATTATTTATCTAAGTCGTACAGCCACATCATTTACAATGTACACCGAGATGCACCTATGCTGCGCTCAGGAAAGAGTGTGCTCACGAGACCGGGCGTTTACAGATCTGCCCGCCTGGCCTATATAAATCTTTGCACAGGCCAGAAGGATTTTGTAAACTTTATACATTTTTCAACCCGCCACATATTTGCAATGGTACCTTACCTTATATAACACACATTGTGGGGCTGCTTTTTCAGTTGCGGAACATAAACGACATTGTTACGGTGCGGAGAACACAGCCGCTACATCAAACGTATTCACACACGTATTAATCCAGTCAGAAATGGTAGGTATATAAAGGGTGTCCCATGTAACTTGCTCCAAACTTTA